AATGTAATGTAATAAAATATCAAATATAAAATGGCACTGGCACTGGACCTGGCGGGGGAGCATTTGTTGCCATTAAAGTTTTACTTTGAAATTGGAATCAGAGGTCCGAGGTCCGAGGGCAGGCAAGCAGCTGGCGGGACAAACTCCGTCCAATGGAGCATAGAGAACGGGGACGAAAACGTGACGGTGCTGGAATACCCTTAAACATAGCCCGGAGGAATCACGAAATAGTTTTTCTGATTTGACATGACTTTAAATTGGCAAGTGAAGGTATTCCATGCTCTACGAAAATCTAGGGATAGATGTTCAAGAAATCTCCGGGCTTTTATGTTTGAAGCCAATATTTTTGTTGTTGTTTTTTTTTGCTAGATTTGTAAGATCCCCAGCAGAAACATCTACCATCAGTCGAATGCAGAAATTGCAGTTATGTTTGTTGCAAAGTCTATACCAAAGTAAATGTTCCAGGACTACTTGCCGTTGGGAATGAACAAAATTATGTTGCCCCAAAATATGTAATATTTTATTATTGTCGCCTCGAACAGTATGCAACACTTTATTTCAGCGCTATTCAACTTCCGCTTCCTCTCCATTCGCATTCACCACACAACCATTCCCACGCCCATTTCGGACGATGTCTCTAGTTCTGGAACAGTTCCAAGCTTCTGACTGCTTGGTGTTTGTGTGTGCGAGTGCCAAAAATGGTCTGGATTCTTCTTACATGCGATTTGAATGAGCACAAACGGATATCGCACTGTTTCTCATTCTTTGAGTACGAGTGTGAGTGAGTGTAGATGTAGTGTAGCAGCACTCGAAATCATTTTAAAACACTCAAAAGCCATTCAACTTGTGGGCTCTACTCGGCAGAAGATTATTCCAGCAGAAGTTTCTTTTGGCCAAGAGTCTGCGGTTCCTAACGAATTTGGTTAGCTTTGGATTATGTTCGTGCCGCAGATATTTCCTTTGAAATGTTTGGCAGCGAAACTTTCCGCCATTGATATCCCACATAATTGAGTCCACAAACGAGACTCCAACGGCCAATGTTCAAGGGACATTGAACCAAACAGCGAACAAGTGAATGTACATAAACTTTTCCCACCAGGTTTTTGTATTGTTATGCTGTGTATGCTGTTTTTTTGTAATGGTTTCCACAAATAAAGAGTTCAATGAACCCTTTAAAAGTTGGGATTAACAAAAAGTTGTGAATAACACGAGCTCGTGTTCGGCCACTCAGACTTCTTAATGACTGGCCAGACTCGACAGAACTTTCATCGAACGCTTTGCCCAAAAATTTAACTGAAGGTACAGGACGTTCGGGAGTGGTAGGTGGAGCGGAGCTAGGAACATTCGTGTTGGCGTTAATTTTATGTCTTGCAGCATGTTGCACGCAATGTAAATGCTAATTAAGACCAGGAACAGGGACTGGAGAAATGCAATAATGTGCGTGCGAGCTATGAAATCGAATCGAATCGAATCCAAGGGGTGGTCTCATCTCTCCCGTATTTGAATCTTAATTGCGTAAACCAAGCGTTTGATTAGTATTTGCACATCAATTGACATTAAACAGTTGAATCAATAAAAAATTAAAGCGGAACTCCCACAACAGCAGCAATCAAGTGCGAGTTTCGGCAAATATTTAATGTGCTTGGGTTGGAGTCCTTTGTTTTACCCTCCTCCCCAGACTAATGACTAACTAAACAAGACGTTGTCTTCGCTGCTGCTGCTCCAATATTACACCAACAATATTATTATTAGCACAAACAGAAACGGTCATTGGCCTGCCCCCAATTGAAGAAGTCAATCAACACATCGAATCGAGCCTCAGCTCGGAGTCGAGCCGTCTACATTCCGCGAAATAATAGAGCTATTGATTTTCTACCCCATTCCGACTCCCCACTCAACGGCCTATAATGACTCTCGTAGGCGTGTGCTGACAGGCCCCAGGCAGTCCTTGATCGTCTAATTAGCTGGCCGCTTTGGGTACCGGATTGCCCCTGATTTTCCCTTCGATGTGCGGCCAGGCGAATTCAAAGTGCCAAAAGTATAGAAAAGAGCTGGCAGAATAATACAAGAAGTAATAAATATTATTATACCATTAATACTTCAAACACTCTATTTAAGACCATTTGAGATCTCAAACTGCCTAGCTAATCCTTCTGAGCAACAGTTTGAGAAGCAGTAGGTTCTCAAACGCAACTGTGACCCCTAAGAGCAGTATACTCGCATATTATCTATTTTAGGCAAGTGTTCTTGGGAGTAACCAGAACACTTCATCTCTGAGCAATTGCTTATTTATTTAAAAGTAAGAAGAGCGTATTTCAGCTTCGGTTGGCCTACATCACAAATAAATTTATTAAGTCGCCAGCTTGCAAAAGATATTCTCCCATGCTAATAACTGATAAGGCTTTTAATCTTTTGCTGCGAAAAACCAAAAAAAACAAAACAAATAAGAGTGGAATCTCAAGTATCAGATCATCCATTTGTTTATGCTTACTAATGGCTTTAAGAGGGAGACGTGGAGCTGGTGGATTCAGTGTGCATTGACTTGCCGCAGAGTGAACTTGGAAAAGATCTACGAGTAAATGTACATTGGTGAGTGGAAGGGTTTATTCCCCACTTGATATATGAGCGAAAGTGCAGGACTGTCAAATCGAAGCCTTTGTTGTTCGATTTAATTATCGGTTGTGGGAAGCTCTCTCTTTTCATGGCAGACAGAAGGATAAATCTTGCCAGGCTTGAGGGCAGCCTTGTGGCCTGTGGCTGGGCTGTAACAAAAAACCAATAATGAAAGTGGAGTTGCACGGTGGCCGTTGCAGCTTCCTGCCCCAAACCACCACAGAGTGTGCGGGGGACTCCCTTATATCGATTAGCGTCTATAACGGGTCTTACATACTTACTGTACGAGTATGTGGCTGTGTGTTATGTATCTGATATGATACATACATACATATGAAGTAAGACTGTTGCAGATAGAGTACTCATGCCCCAACCCCCCTCCCCTATACATAAGGCAATCATGTGGAATGGGCAAGGCAGGGGGAGAGCAAATGACGCTGCAAATGAAAGCAGGAAACGTTGCCGCATTCTCATTCATTTTACACACAAAAGCCATTAACCGCTTTGATTCCATTGTTTTGTTTGTCATCATCAGGATCAGGAACGATTTCAATCCAACTCCTTGTCCCAGTCTCAATTCCAGTCCCAGTCCCAGTCCTAGTACCAAACCCACTTCTAATCCAATTCAATTCCCCATTCTCGCTGAACAACCGGTTGGCACGGGGGTCAAGGGTCAAAAGAGGACAAGGGTATGGTTTGAAGTCAAGGCTGTGATTTACACGATTTGCCATTTGGTTTCGGTACCATAGAGGCTGTCACTAAATGCGAGGGATGTTCCTGGAGTCCATTTAGACTGCAATTAACTACATATCTGGCTATCTGGTTGGCTGTAACAGTTTTGATCCAACAGAATTCTTTTTCAGTCAGCTCCGACTTTTATTTGTAATGAAGCCGGTAACACACAAAAGATGAATGCGGGATACATCAGTCACTCCATAAAGAATTTAGTTATCTGGCAATTGAATTGGATTGCGTATAAAATATGCAGTATAATGCGATAATAAATGAAATGAGAATTCGGTTCAATAAAAGTAAGAGTTTTGATCCTAAATAATTTTCTTTTTTTTATTACACTTATGACTTATTGTGCACCTCGCACTTTCACCCATTTGCCTTTGTTGTCCCTCTTGAGCCCCAATATTATTATTATTGAAAGACTTTTGCTGAGCTGGGGGTTTTATAAAGTGCTTGCGGCACTGCTTCCGTTTGTTCCGTCAACGACCGTTAGACCAAGGACCGGCGAGGGAGGGCCGACGACCGACTACCGTCTACCGTCTCCGTCCGTCCAGTGGATGGCAAAAAACGACTCTTGCGGAAAAATCAACATTGCACAAAAGTTTTCAACGCTCTTCGTACCGCCAATCTCGTACACCTCTCCATGCCATCCCCCACCCTCCCAGCACTTTCTTTTACGCCCGCCATCGACAAAGCCCTCAACCCCGCCATCGCCATCGCCATCGCATCTATCGCCCCCATCGGCCACACCGTCATCGTTCATTCTGCTCCCTTTGCATTGCTTTTTTGTTTTGGCTTAGCGTTGATGATGTATGCACTTTGAAAAGAGTTGAGCAAAGTGGTTTTTCGGGTTTGATGAGCTAACGTCAAGTCCCATACCCATAGCCCGCCCATTGCTCCTACCCACTCTACACATTCACTTAATCCATCTGAGAAATATGAGTGTTCCAGTGGAGCCATGCGAGTGTGGGTGTGCTTGAATGGCGCTGCTGCACAAAGTTATTAATGGACTTCAATGGGGTTTCAATTATGCAATCTCTGCGATTTGAATGTGAATGATATTTCGATTGTTTGTCTGCCTGGGAAGCATTAATTCAAGAGCTCAAATTTGCGATGCGCCCAAATGCATTGTTTGAATTTAATCAAAGCGTCTATCGGTTCAATGTGCATTAACTGAAGCGTCACTTATTTCAAATTCCAGCTAAAATTGTATTTTCTTTTATCTTTAACTTGAAACGTATAAGGGGCTTACACAAGATAGAAGTGGAAGTACTTATCATCTATGTACGATTTAATTTCATCCATAGAAGTTAGAACGCTATATTCCACGTACTGACTATTATTCTGCAAAAAACGAACATACTCTCATTCTATTCCCAGTCTAGTAAATAATACAGATCTCCAGGGTACATTCCATGGAAGACTTATTTGTTTAAGACTTGTATAATTTGATTTTTAAACTTTTTTCGCGGTTAAAATAAAAATCAAAAACTGTGATTTAATGAATATCAAATGAAATCTTCTCCTGAAAATGTAGTTTAAATTCAATCAGATAAATTTATTAAAATAAGGCTAATTAATCGAAAAAGTGCTCAAAATTGCTCATGCTACTCCAATATATAAAATACATAAATCTAGTTAGTGACTGAATTTTACGCGCTCGTGTCACGGGTCACATTTTCTCACAGCGTGGCTCAATCTGAGTAAATTTTCTCCGTTTGACAACACTAAAAGACAAACTTCTAGTTCTGTTGAAAATCTTACCAAAATCACATTGCTATCTCTTTAATTTGTATAATTTTTGGTGAAGTGAGCTGTTCAATATGCTAACGCGTCTGTAGGGCGAAGACCTCGACTCTGGGTGATCACGTTTAATATTTACTTACTTTTTACAGGATGGAGTACGGCAAAAGAGCTTTCCCGATGTTCACCAACAAAGACAGCAAAATGACTGATGAACAAGCAAGCAATGAGCTGAATAAACAATGTGTGGTAAGTATGGGTGGCGCTGCAGTGGCATCCTGCACGGAGATACAATCGGCAGCTCGAGCACTCAGGACTCCGACGGACTTCGATGTGGTGAATATTTTTACAAACATATCGGTGTTGCCGGACATCGAAAGACAACTGCAGCTGCTGTATCGGTGAGTGCTTCAGTTTACCAAGCGCACGACTTGTATATTCATAGACTCGCAATCTCTGCAGACCCTTCACTTGCTTCGTCAGCACGAAGTGCGTGTACGATCTCAGCGAATTGTGCTTTTTCATAGCGAATGCTACGTATGAGCCGGACAAGCACTCGGCCCTGTTCGTTCAACGAGTTAAACCGGTGTGCACCCTGACGATCTACGCCAATGGGAATGTCTGCTGCAAAGGCTATAGCCGTGAAGGAGCACGAGACGGCCTTTCGAAATTGGAAGAAGTTCTGGAGATGGCAGGCTACAGTCCGGCGTTTTCCCATTTCAGGTATAATGTTGTGAACGCCACGTTTTGTGTGCCGTTTCAACTGGATCTGGAGTGGATGATTCAGGAGTCTTATCACAATGTCATATCCAATAACGACCAGCCGTTTATCTTTCACATAATGCCCAAAACCAAAATCAAATTTGCCATTTTTCCAACGGGCTTTGTGTACGTGCTGGGCTGCAAGCTGCCAAACGAAACCAAGGATGCAATAGCCTTCATCATGCCCATTTTGTATCGCTTTAAGGCAGAGAGGCATGGGTCACCGCACGACCTGCAGCTGAGCCTCGGTGACATAAGCTCCAGACTGCTCTGGGAGAGAGAGTTCCAAAAACAGGAAGATTTCTCAATATCGTGGTAGTCTACATCTGCTTCTTAGTCGAACTAAACAAAACAATATCAGCCTACGTGATACCTATTGGCCGTGCCAGGATTTCTGAATATGTATAAACTTAAATTTGTTACGAACAAAAAACTTTTCATATATAGTATGTATGTACATATGCGTGTCCGTAATAAATGTCGGGCCGTTGGATGCCATGCCGCCTGGAGACACGTACTTAACGAAAGTTTTATGTCTGTTCTAAGTGGCAAGTGCGGGTAATTGTTGAATAAAGTTAGTCTGCAGGCATAACTCTCGGAGCAATCAAAATTAAGTGTGAGAACGGATCTCGTTCTTTCGATACGGCTTTCACAGGTCATTACACATTTGTATTGGAATTCCCAAAGTGTCAAACAAGTTGCAAAAAGTCAGTCGCTGCGCAAACAAAAATAAAATTACCAGATTACAATGTAGATTTTAGACAACAGCCAATATGCCCTGCTGGTAATCGAATGTTTGTATTGACCGACCTCAGCGTCCTTGGGAGGTGGTCAGACACCGACACCTGGCACACTGGCATTTTAAATATGACAACGAGCATGACAACGCGAGTGGAGTCGGATCGGGCACAAGAATGAGTCAAATGGAATTTGCAACTGTTGTCCATTATTCCATTACTCCATCGCTTCATCCCCCTCCCTGGCTTATGAGAATTGCCATTGTACGATCCGGCTTGAAAAACAATTCAATGTCATTGTTGTGTGCTTGATTCGTGTATGTTTTGAATCGGAATTTGAGGAGAAATTAGAAACCGTATCCATGTGTACACTGAATATTGGACAAATGGTGACGCTGGTCCCAGATGACGCCTTTTATAAGTAGCACCTAGTCATTGCCTTTTATTTTGCTCCTCCACAGTCGTGGGATGTGTTTTTTTTCGCACATAGTCCCTCTAATCGCACAGTAAATTCTGATAAAATCATTTATTTGCACAAAGTTTATTAAAATGTTACTTTGATATCCTTTGTGGCCATCTATATGGAAATATATGATTCCAACTCACCCTTGGAGCGGATTTAACGCTTAAATTAAGAAATATTTTCGCTAAAAAACAAATTAACTAAAATCTGCTCATTTGAATTCCAGGCATAGAGCTAGAAATGCAAAAAGTAATTAATATTCTCGTGTGTCCAGACCCGACCAGACCAGCTACCATGGACCATGGCCGCTGTCTGACTCCTCTCCAGGACCTCCGCTCGAGTTTCTTCTCCCTCTGGCGGGATGGCAGTGTGAGTGGGCTGCATTTTCATAATTTCCGCACAACAAAAACGAGCAGAACGACGACAAAGCCAAAAGGAACGAAACGGAGCGCAGTAAATTCCAACGCACTGGAATTTATGCAGCAAATATTAACTTACCGCACACACAGATATCCGTACACACCCGTGCAGAGGCAGTGCTCCACATAAATCCCAGCAAGGGCAAGGAGCAGGAGCAACACGAGTGCCAGGAGCAGCCAAATGATGCCGCCGCCCCATTTCTGCATGGCCAGCGAGAACTGACAACAAAACTCATTAGCGAACCCGGCGACCGTGACCGTCGCGAGAAGGCGTGGCCCACCATTTCGACCCGGGCCGGTCAACCGCAACCAGAAACAGGACCAAAAGCCGGACGGCCCGAGTCCATGCCCATGCCCGCAGCCGTAGCCATACTCCAGGACAGAAAAACGCAGCATGCACTTCCGTTTGTGAAAAGTTTTCGCTATGTTATTCATATTTTCGCAGGCTGCACTTTATCTCTCTGCGGCGGTCTTAGTTGGCGAAATTGTGTGCAACCACGAAAATCTAATAAGCGCGCAAATTTGTTGACATAGCGCAAATGTTTTTTACGGGCCTACGAGGAGAAACTTTCCCGCGTCCAGTCCCACGAGCAGAGAGAGTCCGTTGAAGATGGCTTTGGCTCTGGCTCTGGCTGTGACTTGGCCTTGGTCCTTAACCCACTTGGGTGCTGGTACGCTTTTGCTGGACTCCACAATTGAATAGAAATGAAAAGTTAGTTTCAAATTTGGGCATAATTACGAGTATGGGCACAAGCACGAGGACATCTTCAGGTGGGGTAAGTGAAATTCCTACTTTCCAGCTGCTGCTGATGAAATTACCAGCCTCCACTCCAGAGCTAAAGCGCAGCCGGATACAGTAGTCCTAAAAGCAGATGTGAAGCGGAGCGGGAGGTGGCCAAAATAAACTTTTTTCTCGTTTTGCTACCTTTTCCAAGTCAGGCGCTATGGTGCGTAAACCTTTTGGCTTTTGCACTTTGCAAACAGCAGGCAACTGATTTAAATTAAAAAAAAACGTATATCAGAGAGCTACTACAGTGAATATTGCGACTGTAGACTACCCTGCATTTAGTGAAAATATAGGAATATATGCTAGTAGCTATACGTAGTATTCCGATAGTGATGATTTCCTGTAGATAGATAGAGATAGAGGTGTCGACTAAGCGGTATACAATATACCCACGAAAACAGAAAAAGCAAACTAGGTATGCTGAGACAAAAGGCAGCCATGGACTTTTCACTGAGGTTGCTGTAAAGACCACCAGTCATGAGGAGCGCTCTTATCGACCCGTGTCGGCAAGACAATTTCATTAACTGATGCGGCATTTAAAGGCCAAGACTGCTCTCTGGCCACCAGACGTGTCTTTGATTTTTATCGCCTGACCTCGACACAAGACTACTGGTATGCGAGGGTGTTTGTGTGTCCTGTCTGACAGGATTAAATGCGAGAACTGCCTCGAAAGCCCCACGGCCCGGAGCCCGCACACATGACAGCGCGTAAAGTTTTTAATTATTTTTGTGGTTTGAAAATGCATTTCTCGTGCCCTTTGCGTCTCCCCCTGCCTGTCAAGGCGAAGGGCAGGCCCGGGCCAGGGCCCGAAGGAGGACGGAGCAACCGCAAATACGCCGACTTTTATCAGCGCCTTGCAATTGTCATGTCGGGAAAGGACGGTACTACGTGTTCCCTCAGGGGAGCTTACTGCGTTAATTTAAAAGAAAAGTGCAATAACATGTTATTTTACACAGAGTCGGGCTTCAGCAGTGTGCAATGTCCAATGTCTCTGCCTTTTCTGCTGCTGCTTCTTCTGATATTTCCGGAATGATTGTTAACGGTAAGCGGCTTTAAAACATTCGCTGCCTTATTACGCAATTACAAGCGGATGACAGGGGCAAAGGCATTCTCGTCATTGAATTATTGGAAACTCGCGAATAATTAAAAACACAGTGACAGAAAAGACACAGGGAGAGGAAGGGAGCGAGAGGCCTCGATTGGAGTGAAATCAATGAAAAATTCATTGATATATACACATTTCGATTCTCTACAGTAATGGATAATGATAATGTCCGCTCGTTATGGAAATTTATTCATTATATTTAAAGACATTGCCTCATTCAACTGGGGTATGAACTAGACTGAGAAATGAGAAAACTGCATCTTTAAACTGAGCATTTACCTGCTGGGTTAGAGCTATAAATGATACAAGCTAGCTTGTTCTCGGAATAAGCGTGAAAGAGCATAAGTAGCGATAGCAGCGCTGAGAGGAGGTGGGGGCAGCAACTGAAAATTAATTTCTTCATTCTGGCTATAATTATGATCCGATCTGATTCAGATTCGGCAGTCTGGTAGATACATTCTCTACGATGCTGCGTTTTTAGTTTTATCGTATCCTTAAAATTGTGGATCCCACTGATTTTCTTTTTTTGTGTCGACCGAAATATTGAAATACACCCTAAGCAGTCTCTAGCTCTTTTAGTCTCTGAGAACAGGGCGACAAAAAAGACGGACGGGCAGACGGACTGACGGACAGACAGACAGCCATGGCTATATCGACTCGGCTATTGATGATGATCAATAATATATTTTATGGGGTCGGAAACGTTTCCTTCTCTGCGTTGCACACATCCAGTTTTACCACAAACCTAATATACTAATAAAATGTAACTCTTTTTGAGTACGGGTATAAATATGCAAATATTTATGAAAAGTTACCACATGATAACATTGACCATTCAAATAACCGAGCGTAGGAATTTGAGGGGGACATGGACTGAGACTGAGACTAAGGCTTAGTTTGTCTTCCTTTAGCGTACACATAATTTTGTATTGAGGGTTCTGCCGCTTAAAGGTTATTCTGTATTGACACATCGCCTGAGTACTTGCATACCTATACAGACACACATCTTAGTTGAATAAAGACTAAAGTATTCTTGGATCAACTGGCATTGCTCTGTTAATGTGTTCCCAATTCTTTTCCCTTTCGAGTTGTACAAAACTTAAGAAAATTGAGGAAACACATTATTTATGGCTACAAAAATGTTTTCTGTAGAAACCTTCTGTTATCTCTTGTTGTATAAACATAGCACATTTTATGTGCGAAACACTTATTGCCAATCGTAAGAATCTTTATTCATTCCAGTTTTCATGTTATAGGTTTGAAAAGCTCACGCTCAAGTCTAGATTTAAAGAATTCAAACTAATACAACATTTTTCGGAACAACGCAGAGGCCGGGCTACGGATTTCCTTACCTGAAAGCCACCTATTCCGACCCCCAGAAGCAGAAAGAACAGCAATACACGGAAAGGAGGGCAACTATTTTTCGAAGAAATATCCGTACAAATTTTCACAATTAATATGCACTTCCTGTGCAGACGACTTGCAACCATTTCTGAATGCAACCAGCAACCACGGGTAGGGAGCTGCCTCCTCCACATGGGGGGCATTCCTCAAGCATACCCTTACTTCTACAGCAGAGTTCACATGTGGGTTCATTGCTGCCATTAATGAATACGTGTGCAGCAATAAAGCCATTTTTTATGGGCAAAAGTCACGTGAGAAACTATTTAGTACGTTTACTACGTTCGGGACGCGACGGGAAGCGACAGGTAGAAGGCGATGCAGAACTGGTGCAACTTTGTGCCTGACACTGCCAGAAGAAAGCCAACTTTCTTTTTACATAAATATGAGTATTACATGAGTGTGTGCGAGTATGCGAGTGTGTGCCTGTGGAAACCCAGAACGAATCACAGCAAAAAGTGAAAATATTTTCTAGTTACACACATATTCTCGACATTCTTATTTATATAGCTATATATGAGCACATACTATACGAGTATCTCACACATACGAGTATATGTACTATAGATAAAGAGAGAGGCATTTTGTGTGCTGGCTGAATTAATTTTTGGCATTTATCAACTAAGC